ATCCAGCCTCTAATTTCATGCATCGGTTATTCTGAAAAATCAGTATAAAAGAAAATAATTAGTTGTGGAAAATGGAATTTTTTTAGTTTGAACAATCATTTTTTGTATATTAATTGTCCCCAGTTTGCCAAATTGGGGGCGGGCAGGGGGTGTGTCTTTTACCTACATACTTTGTGCTGAAAGGTGCCCCTCTTCAGAAAGTTGGGGGGCATGCTGGATATGTGTGCAAGCTTTTTTTTTCTTGGTATACTGTGGGGGGTTTTTAATGTATCATGGAACCAGTCTAATAAATGGCCATATGTGTCTTTTTAATGAGAAAATATGTTTTTGCGAAGCACAACCAGTGTGTAGTTTATTTTCTTTCCATGCAGTGAAATAATTTCCCCTCGCGTTAGCCATATTAACAAGTCCTTCTGCCGACGCTGTGAGTGTTGGCACGTGGCCAGCCCCTTCAGTGGGTACTGCCGGCTCACACAGGTGTACAACCTCTGGAGAGTTTCAGAATGCCGTATCACACAAGGATATAATCACATTCTGTGACCTTTGAACTGTGGCGGAGCAATTCTGGAAAGCCACAGATTACCATAAATACCCACGGCTGACTATATAGAACAACCAGTTTGATTTTTTTTTTTCCTTTCTGCTGCGGCACAAATGAGATTAAGCGTAATCCCTCTGTTTCTTGTAAAGTTCATATCCATGTAAAACCTATAGCCCAGAACACCACTCCTGCAGTCCATCAAGCATGCCGGCCCAATGGATTTACAGCTTGCTGCATTTTAACTGTAGGCTTCCATTAGACAGAAACTGAACATCTTTGCTTCCTGTAACAATGCTTCCCATTGTGATCCGCAGCATCTGTTACCAGAGAGCTGCAGTTGGAAAAGAAAAACAGTTTTCAAAAAGTCGTTCCAATTGTGTGACGGTACACTAGCGGTTCTACGTTGCTTCCATCTGCATAAGTGGTTGTAAAACAAAAAAATGGTGTGGTGTAATATGCATAATTTTTCCTATATTAAAACTGAACTCCAAGTTAGTTTAAAAAAAATATATATATACAGTCATGTCAAAAAGTAAGTACACCTCATGGAAATTGTTGATATATCTGAACAGACAAACATTAGCAGGGCTATTCACAAAATGGTGAAGAGTTTGGAGAAGGCCGGAGAAGGGAACAATCTAGGACAACATAGCTGAACTGGAAAGTGAGATGAATTGGAGAATTTTTCAAAATCAGCTATTTTGTCCTAGATTGTTCACTTCTCCTGCCTTCTCCACACTCTTCACTCCTTCGTGAATAACACTGTTGATCTTGATGCATAAGTGTATGTAGATCAGGGTGATATACTTGGACACAAAACAGAAGAGTGCCAGGCCAAAACGGATGTTAGAGTTCAATTGTAATTAAAGCCAATGCGTTTTGGGGGCAGACACAAAGTCCTTGCTCAGGGCTTGGAAAGGATGAGAATGATGGATCACTGCCTGCAATTTACAAATTTGGGGAGAACTACCCCTAGCTGCAAAAAGATCTAAATTTTGGGCAAAGCAGCCCAACAATGCTAGTGTGAACGAGCCCTAAGGCAACAGCAACCTTAGCAGCTGACCACATGAAAAGCTGAGAGCTGGGAGGGGCGGGGGGGGAGTTTTGAGGGTTGCGTGAGCCAAAGCTCTGAGCTGAACTCTAAAGTTGAGATCCATGCTAGAGGTACAGCTGAATATTTTTGTGAATTCCGGAATAAAACCATTGCACCATTGTGCAATCACACGCTAGCACCTTGCTTTGATAGGCTGTTTGTAATATAATTTACCTTTCCCAGAGTTTATTGATCGGTTATTGGTTATGATTATTGCTTTCACAGTTTATATTTCATTTCTTCTCATTAATATTCTTTCATTTTATTTTCATTAGTGAAGATCATTTTGTTATACAGAGCAGGGGGTTCAATGAGTACAACTCATTCTTAATTCTTTTATTTAAAGCTCTCTCAGTCTACAAATTACGCTAATGGACCGTGAGCTGTAGGTATAATAACGTTTAGTGGTGGTTCCCTAAGACCTGAAAACTATTTTGAGGGTTCCTCAATGGTAAAAAACAAGCTGAGAAAGACTGATACAGAAGCACAGAGTAGGGAAAATGTCTGTAAATATACTAACATTAATCCAGTGAATGAAATTCTTTACCCCTCTGAACTGCCCCACCGCAGTCACCAGGAAGCTGATATGTAGCCACTTACCAGCAACTGTGAAGGACATATGCACATGGCAGCAGAGTGCTCAACACCATACAAATCGGCCAGATTTCTGCATCCAGGAATCACAGATGTTACATACAGCCACCTCTACAAATCAATGACAGGATGCTGCTGTATGCTAGTAAAACACTGATCCAAGCATATACATGCATACAGGTGCAGATGTACGCCCCTGGACGCAGACAGTCTGCGTTAACCAGTGCAGCTTTTACCAGTGTACAGCGGCATCCGATCATTGATTCGCACAGATGGCTGCATGCAACACTAGTGACTCCCGGGCGCAGAAACCAATATTTTTTATGGCCCTCTGCGCCCATGTGCAAAGCCTTACCCAGTCTAGCAATGTGAAACGTCATGTAAATATTTGTTGCAGTCATGTTTATATATTGAAAGTGTGACCAATTAGAATTTACACATAGAAATATGTGTGCAGTGCTAATGGGAATTTAAAGCTCAGCTCCACCTGTAACATAAATATTGGGATACTGGCCAATATTGGAAAACAATCAACACTGGTATAAAATGTATTAATCACCATCAAGCCCCTTATAACCGTATTGGCTACTAAACCTTGCACCGTGTCTAAAGTGGAATTCTCAGATTAGCTTTTAGCCATGTGTGATCAGCAGACACAGTGGAATGTGCAATGGGCAAATGGAGATATCTGTAGACAGCTGTAGACAGGCGTCCATAACAACAAGCACAATTGGAACATTTCCCATTTGACAAAATGTATACTTCAAGAGCAGGTATGATCATATAAGAACAAAACAGATCATGCATGTCATGCAGGAAGCTGGTTATTTCACCGTACCGCCATACATTATGTATGAGACAGAAAGGCAGGGCAAGGAGGGGGGGCATGATCCAAGAATTGCCTGTGGAGACAATGA